GATTGGTTGTTTAAAGATGCCATCTCAGTTGCGTTGTGCTTGAAGGGAAGTTCATTTCAAGTTTCATGATAATCCGGGGGTGAACTTCACTTGGCTCCGTGAGAGAGGGCGAATTTCTTGTCCGTCTCAGGGACTGTCCTTTAGTTGGGGTTGAAATGCGCTGTCACTGCTCACGACTGCCACCAAATTGTCCTTCCTCAGGACAGGAATGTAAAAAGATTGACCTACAGCTCAGTGGAGGACGAAGGGCTTTCGTGTGCCTCCAGACAGCCGGAAGAAGGCGCTGTTTGGGCTTCAAGTTCGTATTCGGAAACTTTTTTAGATCTGTTTAATAATTCTCTGCTAATTCAAAAACATTTTATCAGTTTGAGAGATAGTAAAAGTTCACCTTTCTCTCGCGCGCTCGTAAATGCTGGAAACTTCCGGAGTGTGACAGTTAATTTGATGCATTTAATTTAGAGTGTAATTGATTGTCTGAAAACTGAACCCCGCGATCAGCAGTTCGCAGAAACGGGATGCTGTAGCTGCTGTTCCTGGACCAGAGATTGCACGCAGCACGACATAAAACGTCGAACATTAAAATTAAGACAGATCCCGTGGAGAAGCTGATAGTCGCTCAGCTGGTCAACAAATCCCCTGCCTTTCATGGAACCGAAAGGCGCGTTGCTGTGTTCACAGTGGACCCTGTCTTGAGCCAGCTGAATCCAATCCACACCCTCGCAATTTGCTCCGTAATTTATGCTCAGTCTCCAGTGGCAGAAGCCAATCAGACGCGGCGCTTCACTGGGCGTGCCTTTCAGTGCTGTGATTAGTCTCAAACGCACTTCGTGCTAAACGGATCGCAATTTATCACGGCGTGGTGCGTAATCCATCGAGATTCAAATCAGGCACGGGGGATGGGGGGGGGGGGACCAGTGATGCTGATGATGAAATAAAGTTTGGTTCATGACGCAGATGGTCGTGCGATCGAATTCTGGTCAAGTCGAAATTTCTTTACATTTTGTTTTTAATACATGTTACATGCATTATATAGTTTTATTGTGAGGGATGACTGAATATTTTACGACAGCGTCTTTCGAAATGACGTATGAAGATCCTAGAATGGCGGTTTTCTGAAGTTCCCTGATGTCGTGTTCGCCCGGGATGTCGGCCAAATATTTTCTGAGTGACTTGGAGACAGTTCCAGTTGCTCCTATAATTATTGGGATTACATTTGCTTAATCTTTCCAAATTCGCTGTATTTCAGTGAGAAGGTCCTTGTATTTAAATATTTTCCCCGCTTTATTCTTAATTACGTTCCTGTCAGTTGGTATTGCTACATCAATTAAGAGAAGTTCCATTTTATCTGGTTTGTTATTATTGTCATCAGTAATTATCGACATTCGTGTCTGTCTACGTGGTCTGTTCATTTCTAAAATACTCGTCCTTGATTCGATCTCTGTTCCTTGTGGAGCTAACGAGTTCCATCACAGAAACTACGATGATCTGGATTCGTCTTTGTATACGTAATAACTGAAGCTTTGTTTAGATCCGGGCAGTGAGTCACACATCAGAAGCTTGTTTCGCTCAGCGTGTAACTTCGTCGTGCTAGTACAAAGTATTGTTTTAACTTGCAAGCCGTGTACGACCGAGATGCAACTACGAGTCTCTGTGGCTGAAAACACTTGCGTGTGAAGGTAACTGGAGCGTATTAAGGTACGTAGTTCGAACCACGCGGGTTTTCAAGAAGAACGCCCGGTTCCCGGGTCTGAACTAATCGCATTACGATCTCGTCGTATGAACTTTGTGCCAGTGGATTTGGTTTTATGGAAATTCGTCGGAGGATGGGGACGAACCCACAATCCTTGAGCTCGGGGCTACTGAGCGCACTCGAATCGACACGAAAACTTTTATTGTGAGGAAATCGATGGCAAGTATTTTTTTTAAATTAAACTCAGTGTGAGAATTTGTGTGTCTGTTGTTGAAAGTCGCACGTTTGTCTTCGCCGTCATGTGATTTCTTCAAAGGGATGCTTTAATTATGTCTAGTTATGTGTGTGGGGTGTTCTATGGAGTGTACTTGTTTATATTATATGTATTTTGTTGTGGGTGCAAACCCAATTGCAGTAAATAAATAATAATAATTATATCTAATATAAATATATAAAATTAAAATTGGGATAATATTAAAATAGCAAAAAACAATTATGCAAAAGACTTGACTCAGCCTGTTGTTCATCTAAGCCCCTTTGAAATATTAGTAATTTTTAATATCCATGAAATTGCAGGCGACAGGCTTTGCTGTCGTGTTTTTGCTCACGTCACTTGGTTCAAGAACAGTCGGTCACTATCGACCATTCACTCCCCTCTGACGAAACAAAGTCGACAGCCAAACAAACAAAAGAACAAGTCTTTGAATTTAATTTAGTTACAAAAGACGAGCGACAGGATAAACTCCTGAAGGCATTTGCATTTCAGGGTGAAAAGAAAAGTTGATCTGTTACAGGGCATTAAGGGCCGATTTGTTCAGAAGGGGTGGCGAGGTTTTCCAACTGAAACGTAAGAAATCGTTCGTTAAGCGCAGTTTCTCCAGCCAACCTTTGACACGCATAAGCAGACAAGTAATTTGTTCACGTGTTGTGCTGTTGTTAAAGGGAAGAAGTCACTTGGTAGACCTAGGCGTAAATGGGAGTATAATATTAAAACGGATCTTAATGTAAAGGGGGTAAGAATGTGGACTGGGTTCATCTGGCTCATGATCGCTGGCTTTTGTGTACACAGTAATGAACGTCTTGTTTAAATAAAGGACCGATAGCTTCTCGAGACGGTGTCAGTATCATGAAGCCAGTTAACAGAGAGCCTTCAGTGTTGATCTGATGTTTGCGTCTCAGTGTATTTGTACGTCTGAAGGACAAGGAAACACGCCTGTCACCTCAACCCTGAAGATGAAGGCGGC